AACAGAGCTGGTGGGATAGGACTGCCTTTGCTGAGAAAGCAAGGAGAGAAAATTCCTTTTCAGGCTGAATTAGCAAGCATTTTAAGGCTTTCTGCCCATCACTTTTTAAGCAACATACTGTTATGATTCACCAATCATATCAATATTCTAATGCAATTTTAAAGGCATATTTTCTTTTTCACATGCTATCCATTTATCTGTCTACATTTTTCTCTAACTGTGGTCACATACCTCATGCATCAACCTTTTTTAGCACATGATGCCATGTATGACCGTAATTACCCCTTGAATACAAAAGATAGGTCACAAGTGAAAGATGGATTTGTTCAAACCAGTTCAGATTTGCACTATGCTAGTAATTTTCTTCTGTTTGTTATCTTATTGCTAGAGTCTTAATGTTGCTAGAACGCACACTTCTAATGCATTAATTACTAAGAAGAACTCTGTAAGTAACTCTATTTTCCATCATATCTTTTGAGTAAATCATTAGTGAATATGCTCTGGCACATATTTTCAGCTGTATTCTTCAGTAACTCTTCTTGGTATGGAAAAAAATCCCCAGCATATCTTAAAAAAAAAAAAATCACTTTGCATTTCAAGCTAGGAAATCTCTCTACGTTCCATCTGACTTATGGATTGTGAAAAGCTGCCATAGTGAAAAACAAATCGTTGGATACATATCACATTGAAGGGTTATATGATATATCACTCAGCATGAAGCCTAGTTTGATTTACTTTGCACCCAAGCAAAAGAAACGGTAACAAAAATAATGCTTTCCATTCCTTGTATTCCCTGCAATATTCTGCCATCCTTTGGAAGGTAAAGCATGTCATGAAGTCACTGTAGGTTTGCATTCAGTAACTGATGGCAGGATAAAGCCTTGCTGTCTAGGTGGATGGAACATGGCAGAGAGATAGAACTAAATGTCTTATTTCTCAGTTCATACCTAATTCAGAGAGGATTGTGGATCTACCTGTTTGCAGAAGAGACCAGGGAGCTATGTGGGAGAATGACTGTCCATATGCACTAACCCCTGCTCCGGTTTGGAGACACCAAGGACCTACTGTGATTCAGTTGGGAGTATAACAAGGACTACAGTAATAGGCAAAATACTCACTGTCTGACATTTGGGAGCTTATAAAATGTTGGAGAATATTTAAAATTATGTAAATTATTATTTTCTTACAGTATATTTGGCTGCATTCCTGGCCTGTATTATTTTTCTGGGTTGGATACCTCCATCTCCAGCAGATATTCAGTCTTTAAAAGGGCTTTTATTTTATTTTATTTATTTTTCTACCATCTATTATTCTAGAGATGGATCAGCCCAGATATGTTTCATGTTGTGAGAAGAAGGAAGGAAATAACCTGAAAAATCATCTAGAGTTCAATATTGAGCTAATATTTGTGGACATGAAAACTTACTCCACAAAATTTTTACCTTGTGATTTGGATTCCACAGGGTAACAATCAGTTTCAAAAATCTCATTGTGACACTGTTTTCAAAGATCAAATAAGGAGCATCAATGAGAACACACCCCCCCCCCCCCCCCCCAGTGGCTCCCCTCCAGCTTCATAACTCCAATTTATTTTTTACATTGCACCATAAGACTGAAATGATTAATCTATAATAGATTATCTCACAAATCTGCTACAGAAGAACAGAGAATGTGATTTGCTCAGGATTTGGCACACTGGCATTGGCATGTCACAGCAAAGGGTTTAATGAATATCATACAACAGAAAAACAAAATGGGGACAAGCTTGGGCTGTTGGAGGGGCACTTTCACATGGTGCAAGGGAACAACCTTCCAACAGCTGCACTGACCACTGACCACTTGACCTGCTACTAATATTGGAGCAAATAATTTCCATTGGCTTTCCAGAAAGACTCCTCCAAGCTTTAGATGTGCCTCACAGCCTGCCTTGAGCTTGCATTTCAGAAGCATTAAGTATCTATAAAATAGAAATGGAGGTGTTTACCCTACCTTTGCCGTTGCCCTGTGGGGTCTCCGGATGTGTGTTACAGAAGTGCAAAGTGTAGTTATTTGTGAGAAGTGTTGAATGCCTGGAGGAAACACAAACAGCTGGATGGCTACACCATGTACTTGTGCTACCTTCATTTCTGGGAGTAAAGGATGTTTGTATGGAAAACCTGCTGCATAATTTACTGTACTATGAAACATTTACCATGCAAAAATTTCAGCCTATGGAATTCAGTTAAAAAGAGTAGGCAAATTTTTCTGGGACATGGGTACCTCTTACAACAAATTTAGAAGTCAAAAGCTATCAAAAAAAAAATCAGAGTAATGTCTAAGTTGACAGGCACCATTTTCTGGTGACACCGAAAATGTATTTGCCAGTCAAAAAAAAGTTATTGCCCTTTTCTGTCATTTTAAAAATCGATTAGGAATACCAGAAACTTGCAAAAAAATTCTCTCTCACCTGTCTGACCTTGGCCAAATGCTGAAGAGCAACCATCCACCTGAGAGTGGGACACTGTAAACAGAAGGCAGAGGAAAGCATGATTGTACTGTTATTGCCATTCATTGACACCTTCGTGCTGTTAAATCTACCTATGTACCAAGTAACCTGAGATAAATATGTTGCTCTAACCTCTATTTCTGCTATTTTCAGGGAGATTTACCTGCCAGTCCAGGCTGTCTTTTCTGCCATCAGGAGTTGAACAAAATTCTCCACATTCTAACAGAGTTTATTAGTCTGCAATGCCCCTTCCCTTGACCTGTTTGGACTTCTCTTTTGCTAGTGCTTCTGTCAGTCCTTGGCCTTATGTGTAGGTCCAGCAAAGGTCTCAGACTCTAGATACTCAGGCCAAAACCAAGACTATTAATTTATTTTGCGTGTCTTTAAATTGTTGGCACAAGGCAAAGGGCAGGTGGGGCCAGGGAACTGCCCCATGAGCCAGCACTGTTGATGGGCAGCTGTGACAGACAACATCAAGACACCTCTATGCTGTAATCTCCAGCCCATCAAAAGGAGATGTTAACAGTTTCATATTAGCTGGTGTTTTGTCCCAAAGGTATGGTCTTTCTTTGGTTCTCTGTCTGTGCGCCCGGATGATGGCAACTTTTCCCCTTTTCTCTAACAGCCTAACAGACTGAAGCTTGCCTGGGCAGTGCTGATGCTATCCAGCTTCTGTAGCAATGTACAGCGGAGCAATGCACAACACAAGAAAGTGAAACAACATAGGAAAATAGGGATGCTGCTGCCACAAATTCTGGGAATTTTGAACTTAAATCCCTCCTTGTCCCTCTGTTCAGGCCATCCTCCTCTCTAGAGGTATCAGAAATTGGGTCTTCCCTTCACGCTCACCCAAGGCCCAGGAAGGGGTTCCATTTCTCTCTGCCAGGAAGTGAATTGTACACTGAAAGTTATGTATTTTTTATCAGGTTGACAGCAAAGGCAGAATTAACAGCTAAAATTTAGATGGGAAAGAATTTGTCTGCCAGACTTCTTGAAGCTTTTGGGGGATTGATGCAAGTGGTTCAGCTTGACGCAATTTTGTTTCCAGGTCATCTTATGAGCATTGCCAAATATACTGTCTCCATCTCCTTCTCTAGGCACTCCTGACACAAGCTGAGGTCTCATCTACAGACCAGGAGTGCTGGGATGTCCAATGGCAGGGATTGCCATGGAACTTGAATTTATTATATGTGTGTGTGTGTGTGTGTGTGTGTGTGTATATATATATATGTATGTATGTATGTATAGCATTTCACACCTCCAGTGGGAAGTATCAAGGGTCTTACCAGACACAGAGGGCTGAAAGCATCTGCACTGAAACAGGAGTCAGGGCAGGTCTAGGTCAAGGATCTGTCTCAGAAAGTAGAGAGCAGTAGGGTTTCATTCCTGGCTGTGCAAAGCTCTGAAATCATGAGGCTGCCTGCCTCATGCCTTACTTCCCATCCATGGCATCCCTACCATGGAAAAGCTGTTGTGCTTATGAGATATTTAAATCCTCTCATGCTTTGGGGTCATAAAAGTGACAGGAAAACTTGCACAAGTGGACATGAAAAAACAGTGTGAAGATCCTGGTTCCAGTCAGCCCAGGAACCCATGTCCTACTCTACCACTGCTGAACAAGCTCAGGAGTGCAGGCCAGTGACAATGCTGGTCACCCTGTGCAGTTGACAGCCTATGAGTCCACAGAGTTCAGGGGTCTTGGCAGTAAGGTGTAAAATCCAAAGAAGGATGGTCTATTTTCCAAATAGGCAGTCTGAGATTTTTAGTTCATGTTTGGGGGTTTTTTGGATTTTTTTGTTTGTTTGTTTGGGGTTTTGTTTGGTTTTTGTTTTGTTTTGTTTTTTGTTTGGTTCTTTTGTTTTGTTGTTTGTTTTTTGTTTGGTTTGGTTTTTGTTGTGTTTTGGTCCTTTTTTTTGTTTGGGTTTGGGGTTTTTTTGTTTGTTTGTAGTTTTTTTTTTGTGAAAGCCAGTAATCACAGGAATAAAGCAGTTGGATGAACTATAATTTAATACCATGAACTTCTCTTGCCTATGTTTTTCTAAAGGAAACAACCATAGATGCTGAGATGGCTGTACTTCGGACAAAACAAACGCTGTAACAGCAATAACAGGATGTTGCTGTAGCAAACCTATCAGAGTTCATAAACAAACAGACATCCATTTAATCACTAATTATTAATCCAATGCTGATCTTCAGTTACTCAAAATGAGCTGCTTAAACGAAAAGTGAGACTTGTTAATCTAAAGCAATGTTAAAACATGTGTCCAAAAGTAATGCACTGGTTTACTATGGAACAATCCATAGTAAGAAGAAAAGGAAATGACAAGAAAATTAGGACAGGAAAAATAAATTTTATCCCATGAAACCAGTTATATGAATGAGGAATCCTCTTGAAACTGCCCCTACCCAAAATCCTAACCTGAGTGCTAAAGGAGGCAGAAAAGCTTTAATGAGAAGGAGCACAGCCTGCATCATATTCCTGCCCCTCTATAGCAGTAGAATTACAAAATGGATGGGCATGAAAGAAATTACAGATTTGCTAGAGATATCTGCTGCTTAGTTCCTCAAAATTTAGTTTAAGGAGCCTCTCAATCTGCGTATGGAAATGAGTCAACAGCAGAAGCACTTCTGACCTCCTTGAAGATTTTTAGTATCATCTCAACTCTTCCAGAAATTAAAACCTCTCCAAGCTAATAATCTTGCATTCTTGGATTTTAGTTATTTTTTTAATCAAAACTGTATATATTTCAAATTTGTCAAACAACTGGACAAAGCAGTGTTAAAAATTCAACTGCACTAATTACTAGCTGAGAAGCATAAAAACCTCTGAATAAATGTCAGTCTAGGAGATAAGCTCTTATCTTAATCTAATGACTCCACAGACTTAATTTGTCAGGCCAGCCTAGTTGATGAAAAACAGGTTTCTATTCTCCAGTGTTAGCAGCCACATCTTTCCAAATCTTTGAAGCTGGATAGTAATAGCATCAGTGTCATCCTGCAAAAATCTTGTGACCGAGCCAATTCCATTCCTATTGTCCTGTTACACTAATTAAAGTTGTTTTACCCCCATTGGTGTGCAATAGGTGAAAATGATGCCAATTTATTTTTAGATTTGTTACATTCTGGGATAATCATTCTTACTTCCCCCTCCCACAAAGATGTGTTAATATTTGCAGCACTCTCTCAGTATCAGAAAGCCAGGCTTTTTAGCAGGGCTCCACAAACAGCACAGCCCAGGACAATTCCTGCAGTGCAGACAAAGCATGCAAGTATGAGTGTGTGTGTGTGTTTATTTGTATAGAGAAGAATAATTTTGAGCTCAGGCAATGAATTTGATCTTAGGAGATGATTTTAGGTTTTTGAAGTTCTTCCCTAAAGGAGAATTTGACATATTTAGAGCTAAATGCACCAAATGTTCATATTGTTTGGACAAAGTAGATTAACAAATAGAAAAAAAGAAATTTGGCTGCAGCCAGTGTTTCCAGTCCCTCACTCTTCAGCTAAGTCTTCTGACAGGAACCTGGCAGGCCTTTTGTGCACAGTGCCCCATTTCAATGGATACCATTTAAACATGGTATTCTTTCTCCCAGTCCCAATCCTTAAATAGGGATATGCTTGGGTTTGAGGAGTCGGGAGGCGAACTTCATTCTGGTGATACCCAGGAAGATTACAAGGTAAAAAAACTTGATGAAAATAATAGGGCTAAGGTGTGATCTACTGAGGCAAATCTGAGAGGCCAGAGGTCAGTCCTGCTCTGGACTCGCTTGACACTGGCATTATTAACTTTATCAACATTAAATATATCGAGCTGGATACTTGTTCTGTTGCACTGGGTTTTACAGCAGTGCACCTCTAGTGACTTCAGCAGCATTTCACTAGCGTACAACCAGTAAAATGGAGTGGATAATTAACCTCCTTTTTCTAGTATTACAAAATCCCTGGCACCCAGAGCTGATGGGTCCAAAGCCCACTCTACTCCCTGGGCTGGCAGGAATGTGGGGTCAGAGGCAGCAGTGTGCAGGTGCAGCACAGGGCATTCTGGGATTTGTTTTGAGACGCTTTAGAAACATTTCACTCTCTGGCTGAGAGCACCCTCCTGGATAAAACAGAGTTAATCGGTTAGATCACAAATGTCCATCCTCTTGGGTAAGAACACTGCCTTCTCTCAAATCTAGCCTGAGTAGGACTGCAAAAGGACCACAGAGGTCAAGTGCTGGCATATAGACAAAAGTACTCAGGAGTCGGTCCGCTTACATTTTCGTTTCAAAGGCTCATGTGTAAGCATGGACACCCAGTTCAGCACCTGGGTCCTCCTGAGTGTAATGTGAGCTGGGTGACAGCACTGTAGCAATCACAGCCTTTGAGCCCATACATGCAGGCCATGTTGCCTAGCTGGGCTTCTTCACCTGCAGCAGTGCAGATCCTCAGCAGGGGTCACACAGAGGCTGGCAAGAAGGGTGGGAAGCTTCACATCTGCAAAAACCTTTAAATCAGAAAATGTAATTACCCCAGCTTGATTGGCTTCTGCATCTGATGTATACAATGGCATCTTCTAACATCCTGGCTAACATGTCATTGCTTATGGCATCTTCCTGCTAGTTGAGGGCCATAATACACTTTTTCCTCTTGTTTTACGCACAGCTGTGCAAAGGAGCAGAGTTTGCAGAGTAGTGCCATGTGAAGAGCTCATGGTTCCAAATGTGGCCCAGAAGGACAGCACTACTAGATAAATTAGAGACAGATTTCCACAGATATTTGAACAGCCTTGGATACAGATCAGTATCTACTTCAGATTTTTAAAGCTTTCAGGCTCCTTGTTGTCACTGGGAGTTGGGAACACATGGGTTTCTGTAAATCCCAGAGCCTGAAACATACTTAGGCACTGTTGCCTATTGCTTCCTTGGATCAAGACAACTGAACCCTTTGAAAGCACTGGGCTGCAGTCAGTATCTATCTGACCTTCTAAACACTAATAAATATTTGGTGCATGGTCTGCAAGCTTGAGGCCTCATCTG